CTATTTCAGGCAACTTTTGTGTACTTCAAAGCAGTATTATTGATTTGTTTGCCTATCTTGAAGCAATGGGATATAAATCATTGTTAATTTTAAAACCTGTTACATGATTAGAAAAGGGTCATTGTTCCACTATATAATCATGCACACCCTATAATTCATGTTCGTCTTGCATTGGACTTTAGTGCATCCATAAATCAAAATTGCATCTGAAATCTCAACCTATTAAGCTAATTGAGGCTCATTTTTTTGTGTTAAATTAAACGTTATATTTAATTTAAATTAAGTGACATATTTGTATTTTTCAATTTTTGTCTCCAAATTACCTTTTTCATCAGTAGTATTTGTCGAATCCTAAACTTCTCCTAATGCCTTATCAATGGCTTAACTTATGATAGCATATAAATATGACCACATTGTTTAGATGCATGCATATTTGAAAGAACCTCTCTGGCACGTCAGCATCTGCCTAGAAAGCTTAACCAAATCAAAGTGGGTTAGCAGCTCTATTCTGTGCCTAACCCTGACAAGCACACGGTGCTACACCTGTATTTAGTATGGCTTTCCTGTATGGCTTTCCCTTCAGTTGTCACCCCTATGATGAAGCACATGTGCGTGACTGCTCAGCACCTTAAGAATAGCCTTGGGCTGTCCCCTCTGTTCCTCTGTTTTGCCCAGAAGTGCACAGCATTGATTCTAAGAATAAGATAAGCTCCATGAGTGCTGTAAAAGGCGTGCAGCTCTTCCGAGGTCCTGTGCATGCTTCCACTAATTACAGGCATAAATCAAAGTAATGGACCGCTTCATTTATCATTCCTGTTTGCAAGATGACGCAACTTCCTGATATGGCTCACTCTGATTTCCTCTGTGCGAAACTATGCTCTGAATGTGAGAAATGCTGTTGGAATCAGACGTGATCGCTGCCCCGCCAGGCTGGAACTTTACAATGTAACTGTACCTTTACTGTCTGAGCAAATCATCACCTGCACACACCTTCCTGAGCTCCTCCCTGACTTCCAGGCTCTCTCACACGCGATGAGCGTTTGAGCTGTCAGTCACACAGAAATGGAAACTGGTGTCGAAACTGAACTTGGTAGCAGTGAGGAGCGTTGGGGGCCCGGTTGTTTTGCAGCTGAAGTCACATCACTGCACCTCTGAGGGGATTACCTACAAGGCTCAGCATCCAAACACAAACAAATGTCAGAAGTCATTAATATTTGCATTCTAACAAAAAGGAATTTCAAATGAAATCACTGCAGACATTTGTTCATCTCTTTCTATACAGCTCACAAATAGCGGGAAAAAAAGACAAAAAAGTGAAGAAAAAGAATATCTGAATTTCATTGGACAGAACTCTGTATGATGAGGACTATAGAGCACGACAGGAATGAGTCATCTATCCATTTATTATACATAACCGCTTATCATATTCAGGGTCGTGGGAATGAGTCTTAAAAGCATTTAAAGCATTTTTGCACTTCCGGTTACCTCGTTTTTTTTGGATGGCTTTTTGGTTCGATGCCTTAAATAAGGTCTGTGGTTAACACAAGCTGAAGAGATTTTAACATTTTGTTCAAAAATTTAAAATATGTCAGTAAGAATTTTGAAGCTTTTAAGTGTATTTAAAGAGCCGGTTGCTAACAAGTGGCTAAATGAGACTATAAAACGGTATGATGCCGACTAATCCGCCTTACAGCCTTGTTGCGTTGCGTATACATATGATATATGAGAAGCAGTTTTGAAGCCTTGTGTTCGGCATTTTGGCCATCGCCATCTTGGTTTTTGAAACCAGAAGTAACAACCGAATGCTGAACACTTTTAGGTGACCAGAAATGTTACAATTAACTTTCATGAACTGAAAATACACTGTGAAAGAGTTGAAATTGTAAGAAGAAAACAAGGACAACTCCCAGACAACACAGCAATAGTCACCTGTCAATCACAATGCAGCCCCGCCCTAAAGCATACCCTGCTTTACAGTCTATTTGACTCTAAATGGACCATCATTTACTAGATGAACATCATGCTGTATTGAGGAAGACTATAGCGATTGAGACCATAAACTCATGTTCACAGTGTTTACTGAGGTAATAAATCAAGTGAGAATGAGAAGGAGTCATTTTCTCATACACTTCTATACAATCAGACTTTTTTTGCAACCAGAGGAGTCGCCCCCTGCTGGCCATTAGAAATAATTCAGGGTTAAGGCACTTCCACATTGGCAGCACACTTTTTTACAGTATCAAGTTTAAAACGAGAATGTAATGAAAACTACAAATGGAGGAAGTTGTATTATTGTTCGATTCAGTCTTTGAATTAGAAAGATGATTTAGGTATTTTCTGAGACAAAGCAGCATTTCCCCGTCTTGCCTTTTAACAATGCAACAAATCTACCTGAGCAGTAGTAAAACAATTAGGGTATTGGGAAATTAATTGACCTGCAGGAGGAATAAAAAACCAAAACAGATTTCCAGCTGTTGTGAATTAAACTGTGGAGTAATTATCACCATTCAAGCACAGAAGATGTGGTCTTTGACAAAACGGAGTTAAACCATAGACTTACTGAGAGGCTAATGAAGGTCTTATGACCATGTTCAGGTTCATAGTTTGACTACTGACATACTGACCACACACACACACATACACACACACACACACACACACACACACAGACAGCAAGACAGTTTGTGTTTAAGATAAATGCAATAAATACAATTTTTTTCTCTGTTTCCCATCAGTCAATGAATTATCAGTCAGAGATAATTGTTTCAGTAATTACAGATTTACAAAAGAAAATAAACAAAGTGGATTAAAAAGGCAGAGGGACCTGCTGGGGTTTGGTCTAATAACTGGAGCCAGCCAGTAAAGGAGGCTGGGAGTAGTTTTTATTCTCTAGTTTTTCTCCACCCTCATGGATCCAGTGATGACTAAAGCTAGAACACATTGAGGGGAGGACAACTGGAGTCAAGACTCAGTAAGTGTCTTTACATTCATTTTACCTTAATCTGATTTACAATTTAAAACAGGGTAAAAATTCATCTTTAATTCTGTAATTAATAATATATGCATAATATGGTTATATTTGAATTCAAATGCAAATTAGTTATAATCTTCTACTGTCAATGCCAAAGCCAAATGCGACCGTTGGGATTTTGTAGAAGCAATAATGTATATTATTATGATTAAATGAGGTATATATAAAATTGCATAAATTGTAGCAGTGTAATATGGGAAATAATATGTTGTTTGAATGTATTACCGTGCCAAAACGTAGCGCGCATTATTTCTATAGGTTAGGATATTATAGAAGTTAATAAATTATATTATGTACAATAAGATCGTTGTGTTCATGTTCATCATGCTGAGAGATTTTTTTAAAACTTATTTATTTTTAACCAAAACACACAATTATGAGCATCACCTGTGTCGATAGTTCGTGTTCAAACTTGAAGATGAGAAGGACATCACCGGGTTAATTTGAGCCGCTGTCCGCGGTGCTGAAGCAGGATCCCCGAATCGCATCCCAACCACACCAGACCTGAGCAGGGAGGCCCGAGCAGAGGACAGAGACCCAAATATCACCTGAAGAATGAGCGAAAAACGCATCCAAACGGACAGAAAAGCAAATAAACATGGTGTCTGTTTGCTAAAATGAGGAGGCAGGTCTGAACCCCGATAGCCGAGAGAGTAACAATCATTATTATCATCCAGCCTTGACCGGGGGCACACTGGATAACTATTGATACGATGGATTATAATTATTTCTATAATAGTAATAATAATAATATTAATAATAACAATAATAAGAAATAATAAGAAGTAAAATGTAATTAAAAATAAAAATAATAATGTATGTAATGGAATAATGACTGTTCTGCAGGAACAGGTCTGACGATCAGTATGCTTGTTAATTGGGGGAATTAATTAATGAGTTACAACACGGGCTCGCCTCCTCCTGGTGGCTTGATAGGAAAGCGCACCCACAATTATAATTTCATTTGAAGCAACTCCAGACTGTCATCAGGGGAAATACAGCACACACACTGCAAGTGTGTGATTCGGCTTGTATTCCAGCAAATACATGCTCTCTGAGGAGAAGACGTGTAGAGACTTTTCTGTGTTTTTTAATATATATATATATATACACACAAACAAAATATAGGCATATATACTATATTTAGGCCTGTACAAAAAATAAGAAAATAAAAACTGCATTATGATTTTTTTACTTTTAAAAATCTGATGAGGTTACATTGCCATATTTAAAAAAATAATAATTGCGTCGTCAAACGTACGTCAAAGCAGCCGCTATAAATGCCTGTTTACATTGATCGGAGGTGATCATTTATCTTGAATAGCTTGAACTCCGTTGACTTGTCGGGTGTTACCTTCCCTCAGGCAGAGACGCACGTTGTTAAGCGCTTCGACTTCAAGCCTGGCTTTCTAGCACTGCTGAAATCTGCATGTTGATATGGCGCATATGAATTATATGAATATTAATAATACAAATAATAGCCTGAAAACGATTATTATTATTATGTCTGTTTTAAAATGGTTAAGACAAACAAGATGCACACGTAGTACCGATACATATCACCACCATCAATAACACACCCCTCCAATAGTAATAATAATAAAAAATCATCATGATGAATAATAACAACAACAACAACAACAAGACGTTGTTTATACTAACTATTAAAGCGTTTATTAACATTTAAAAACATTTTTAAAAGTTTAATTCTACCAGTATAACTGCAGTTGGAAAGTCCGATTGTTTTGTCTCATGAAACGAATATTCAACCACTTCAGTTAACTTGTTTTTCTCAACTTCAAATGCTCCCGTTTACAGGTCGGACAATAACGTCTGTTGCCTGTAGGTAATACACTAAGGGAGGGAGAGGTGGGTGGAGGAGGAGGAGATGATGGTGGGAGGGTGGGTTGACACCCTTTGCAACAAACCTGCCCACTGTAACAAAGCCAGGACACAACCAGACGCTGACGGTGTGACGTGATGCTGCACTGTTTTTTTGGGGGATAAATAACTTCACTTGTTGTAGTGGGGCTTCAAAGCATTGCCAGGCAGCGGACTGGGAGCAGGGGGTGCGCGCACGCACACTGCATTACGCACCAGGCTGCACTTGACTATTTGTATCAAGCTGGTTTTCTAGATCTGTTGAGTAAAGGAAACATATTTTAAAACTAAAAGACCTCATCTTTTTAAGGTTACAAATGTAGTCCTTCCATTCAGTTCATGGATAAACACATTGAAGTTGGATCCGAAACAGAAACAGCAGTAAATATGTTGGATACGTTGTAAAGCCTGCTATTTCTTCGATGCACAAAGGACATAAGCAAGTATTTAATCACCTTTTGATTCAACTGAATTAATTTTTTTCTTCATAGCCTACATCCTATACCTAAATATATTAAAAACTGAAATACTATGTGCGTTTAATATTACTGTCGTATCCTCCTGTAGGATCCCCATCATGGATGATACATTGGAGGGAATTAACCCGGCAAATGCAAGAGCTCTGTTACTGGCATGCGTGACTCTGCTGTTCTCCCTCCACCTGTGGCGCTGGCTGCAGCGGCAGCGCTCGAACCCCGGCCCGCCCGGCCCGCCCGGTCCGCTCGCCTGGCCGTTCGTCGGCAACGCACCGCAACTTGGCAACGCGCCGCACCTGTATTTTGCGCGCATGGCGAAGAAATACGGCAACGTCTTCCAAATCAAACTGGGCACTCGGACCGTGGTGGTGCTGAACGGGGACTCCATCAAACAGGCGCTGGTCAAGCAGGGAGCCGAGTTCGCCGGCAGACCGGACTTCACCTCCTTCCAGTACATCGGCGGCGGGGACAGCCTCGCGTTCGGCACCAACACGGACTGGTGGAAGATGCACCGCCGGGTGGCCCAGTCCACCGTCCGCATGTTTTCCACCGGGAACCCGCAGACCAAGAAGGCGTTTGAGCACCACGTCCTCTGCGAGGTCAGGGAGCTGCTGCAGCTGTTTGTGGAGAAAACCAAGGCGCACCAGTACTTCCAGCCCATGACGAACCTCGTGGTGTCCACGGCCAACATCATGAGCGCGGTGTGCTTTGGCAAAAGGTACTCCAACGAGGACGAGGAGTTCCTGCAGGTGGTGGGCAGGAACGAACAGTTCACCAAAACGGTGGGGGCGGGGAGCATAGTGGACGTGATGCCCTGGCTCCAGTACTTCCCCAACCCCATCAAAACCATATTTGACGACTTTAAGTCGCTCAACCTGGAGTTCAACACGTTCATTAGAGACAAAGTCATGGAGCACAGGAAGAACTTCCAGTCGAGTGTCATCAGAGACATGACGGACGCCTTCATAGTGGCGATGGATGCGCTGAGGGATAAATCGGGGCTCGCGCCAAGGAAGGACTACGTGGCCCCCACGGTGGGGGACATATTTGGAGCGAGTCAGGACACCCTGTCGACCGCACTGCAGTGGATCATCCTCTTACTTGTCAAGTAAGCAACATTTTACCGCTCGTTTTTACAGAGCTTTTTAGACACAAGCAGGCAACATCAGATAATAATACATCATACCGCTGCTGAGGCTGCACAGACTTGAGGAAGTTCAGTAGCATGTGTGTTATGTAACAGCCAGGGGGGGGGGGGGGGCACAGGCAGGTATCGGCAGCGTGACATCAGCAGCTGAAACTGCACACCAGTGAAAGTGCCCAGTCAGCATTTTACCGTGCAAGTAGCGAGATCTTTGGCAGTTTATTTTAATTTTTTTTTTACACAAGATCATTTTTCTGATCTCACATGATTGTTCGATCACATTATGATGCCTTGATGTAGTCTTGAGCTATTCTTTTTGGTTGTTGATCGCTGTGTGAAACGCTCAATAAATGTGCCCACGCATCACATCCTTACTGTGTTACTGAATGTCAGGCAGCTTTCTACACTGTCACTTATCAGGTCATGATGTAAAGTGAAAGAGAAATGAGTGTAACCTCCATCAGTGAGGGTGTCGCCATTAAACGTAGCTCTCCACCTGTGAACGCAGGTTCCCTGAGATGCAGGTGCATCTCCAGCGGGAGGTGGACAAGGTGGTGGACCGCAGCCGGCTGCCTTCCATCGAGGACCAGCCGCGGCTGCCGTACGTCACGGCCTTCATCTATGAGGTGATGCGCTACACCAGCTTCGTGCCGCTCACCATCCCCCACTACACCACCGCGGACACCTCCATCATGGGCTACGCCGTGCCGAAGAACACGGTCGTCTTCGTCAACCAGTGGTCCATCAACCACGACCCGGCCCGGTGGGACCATCCGGAGACCTTTGACCCCCAGCGCTTCCTGAGCCCGGACGGAGAGCTGAACAAGGACCTGGCCGGCGGCGTGCTCATCTTCTCCCTGGGCAAGCGGCGGTGCATCGGCGAGGAGCTGTCCAAGCTGCAGCTGTTCCTCTTCACGTCGCTCATCGCCCACCAGTGCCACATCACCGTGGACCCGGCCCGGCCCGTCAAAATGGACTTCAACTACGGCCTGACTCTGAAACCGCACCCTTACTCCATAGCAGTGACTCTGCGGGAAGATATGAGGCTGCTGAATGTGGCTACCAGGCAGGCCGTGCCCGAGCAGGAGGTCAAGGCCCATAAAACAGACTCATAAACAGAAAGACAAAAATAAACACTGTAATAAGCAAAACAAATGAAGGCTGGAACACAAAAGACTAATGAACTCTAGCTCATGTTTGTGGGCTGAAAACTATATTTATAAGCTGAAATCTCAGGCAAAATTCTCATCACTGATTACTGACTCATTTTAGAGCATTATAGTGCCAGGAAGGAACAGATGTTGCGTCTGTTTTAGAGGAGACACGGCGTATAAGCCACGCCCCCCACAACCAGCAGTTCACCGTTACCATTTAGCAATTAGCATCTTCTTTTGATCCATCGAGGTGGAATCGATTGAAAAGCAGAAACCATTAAGCAAACATCGACGTCATAGTGTTAGCAGAGCTTTTCTATTAACATTTTCGCTGCCAAATTAAAAGAGACATCACCAAAATGTCAGCTTTTCAGGAATCCTTTCAATTTGGCCGCCATTTTAATAATGTTCTTCTTTACAAGGGTCGCAATGTCCAACTTCACGAAATGTGTGTGATAGTTGACAAAAGTAATGTGCCACTTAAGGTCAGACCGATGCAGTGATTCTGCGTGAACAGACGAATAAGCTCATGGAGTGCATCAGCCCTTTAGCCTAATGTCTACTAACATTAATATGTTTCATATATATATACATATATATATATACATATAC